CTTGGGGGGGTTGTGGTGAGGAGGTCACAGTGGGGATCATGATGGGAGGTTGGTTGGGGGTCACATTGGGGGGGGTCAGGGTGGGGGGCTTGGATGGAGGTGTCCCTGTGGGGGGGGGCTTGGATGGGGATGTCCCAGGGGGGTCCCAGCAGGGTGTACCCCCTCACCGTGGTGACCATGCAGTAACTCTCCTTCCAGGCACCGCAGCAGCCGAAGAAGGAGATGAAGAAGATGATGACGCCCAGGACCAGGATAGCCACGGGGGTCCCAGCCGAGGAGCCACTGCTGACCACCAGGGCCTTACTCAGGGCCACCTGGGCGTAGATGCCGATGGCAATCAGGGCCACACCACATACCTGGGGGGACACAGAGAGTTGGGGCACAGCCAGGATCTCCCTGGGACCACCCCGAGCCACGGAGCTGGGGGGGTGCGCCCGCAGCCTCTCTGGGGTTTGGCTTCACACAGAGGACCCCCTTCCTGGGGACCATGGGGGGTTTCTCTCCCAGCACAGCCCTGCCGCGGTGGAAGGGGGGGCACGGGGCGGGGGGGGCACCGCTGGCTCTGCAAGCGCCAGAAAGTCCAGGAAGTCCAGCCTTCTGGCCACGCGAGGCCTCGGCAGGGGAATCTGGCACCAGCTCCCCGCCCTGAGGGTCCCTGTGGATCGTGGGTGATGGCGGAAGGGGGAGGTTTATCACACCAGGAAGCACCAGCAGCCCCCTCTCACGGGAGCCAGGACACCTTTCCCCTGCCCGGCTGTGGGGTCTATTCCCCCCATTTCCAAGCCCCCCGCAAGGGTGGGAACCCCGCCACGCTCCCCCCGTGTCCCGGTGGCGGCGGGACCCCCCCGTGCCGTGCCCTGTTTGCTCGAGGGGCGTGGGCTCGGCCGCCGCCGCACAAACAGCGGGGGGGGCGGGGGGGGGCTGGCGCCGTGTCACCGTGTCCCCCCCCCGCCTCCCCCGGCCCTCGAGGGGTGACTCAGCCCGGCAGGATCAGGGTGGGGACAAGTGACTCCATGCGTGGGGGGGCGGGAGAGCGGCAGGGAAGGGGCCCGTGACCCCCCCACACCCCCATCCCCCGCTGCAGCCGTTGGGTTCTCGCGCCTCTTTCCTCACCTCGACTTCCCCAAACCCACGCCCTGCTTATCAGGGGACCCCGGGAAGAGGGGTCCCCCCCAACCACGGGAACCCCGGTCACCCGTGGGATCCCCACCGTGACCCCAAGGCCGGGCTCCCCCCGTTAACCCTGGAACCGACGGATGGCACATGGGGCTGCAGGGACCCAGAGTGGGCACGGTGGTCCCTCCCTACCCCTCCAGGACCACCCCCACGACAGCAGGACCTCCACCCCCCCGGTCCCCGCGACCCCCAACCCAGGGTCTGTGAGATGTGGGGAGTGGGGGGCTGGGTCCACCTGCCAGGTTCTGCAGGCCCCCCTCGGGTGCCCCCTCGGTGCCCCCCGGCCCCGCACTTACCCAGAAGATGAAGTTGAAGAAGAAAACCAGGAACTTCACGCACTTCATCCCCCCCTCGACCGCCATGGCCCGTCCTGGGGGAGCCGCCGCTCAGCACCGGCCCCGGCCCCTCGCCCGGGCCGAGCCCCGCTCCCGTTCACCGGCCCAGGACCCCCGGTGCCGCTCCGCCCACTCCGGTCCCGGTTCCCGTCCGGTGGTCCCGGTGCTGCTCCATTCCCTGGTCCCGCTGCTCCCAGAGTTCCCGGGGCAGCTCCCCTGCTCTCCCCCGCCCCGGTGCTCCCGGTCCCGCTCCCCACCCCGGTCCAGGGGCTCCCGAAGTTCCCGGTGCCGCTCCCTCTATGGCCCATAAGCCTCAGCGAGTTCCCGGTGGTCCCGGTGCCTCTCCCGGTGCTCCCGATACCGCTCTTCCCCCCGTTCCCCTCGGACCGGTGTCGCTCCCCTCTGCAGCCCCGCTCGTCCCGGTGCCTCTCCCCCCTCCCCGGTTCCCGCTCGTCTCGGTGCCGCTCCCCACCCGGTCCCGGTGATCCCGGCGCTCCCGTTCCCCGCCGTCCTTCCCGAGGGCTCCCCGATCATGTGATGGGCCCGCGGGAGTCAACAGGACCCCGGACCCGCCCCGGCACCGCCCCGGGCCCGCCCCGCCCCGGCAGGACACGGAGGACGGACACGGAGGACAGACACGGAGGTCCGAGAGGCGCTTTAATGGGGGGGGACACACGGGGATTCCCACCGAGGGGAACCGGCACTGAGAGCTCCCATCCCATCCTGGCTGCCCTCGGTCAGGGAGTCCTGACCACCCCAGCTCCGGGGAACTCCGGAGGCCCTGTCCTCCCTTACCCTGTACCCCTGACACCCCTGATCCCAATTCTTGGGTCTCAGTCCCCCTACCCCACACTTTGAGATCCCTGACCCCAAACCCGGGGTCCCTGACATCCCCCTGCCCTTGGTCCCTGTTACCCTGTGACAGCACCTCAAGGTCCTTGAGAGCCCCTGCTCTGCATCCTAGGGCCTCAGACAGCCCTGAGCCCAAACCTTGGGGTCCCAGCCCCTCCCGAGCCCACACCTTGGGGTCCCAGACCCCTCTGACCTCCCACACCAGGGACCCATTGTCCTTGGTCCCAGCCCCCCCATTCCCACTCGTGGGGGTCTCGGCCGCTGCGGGCTCACAGCCCGGGCACAGTGGCCAGTGCCCCCAGCACGGCATCCAGGTGCTGGGGGTGCAGATAAGCCACGAGGCCCCCCCGGTTTGCCCAGCGCTCGGCCCCCCCCACCCCCTCTGCTGGGCGGTTATAGACCAGCTCAGGGGGGTCCCCGGCACGCCCCTCCTGCCGTGCCCGTAGGGCCCCCTCCAGGGCCACCAGCCCCCCGCCCAGGGCCCGCAGGATGGCGTGGGGGGCACAGGCGTCCCAGGCGAAGGTGGTGCCCTCGGACAGCACGTAGGCATCCGCCAGCCCCAGGATCACGCACAGCATCTTGTACCCCGCTCCTGCCGCAAAGTGCAGGTGACCCCCGCACAGGGGGCCCAGAGCCCCCCGCACCGCCGCCCCCTCAGCCCGGCTCAGCACCACGCGGGGCACGGGGTGGGGGTCGGGGGGGCTCAGCGAGCACAGCCGGGTGTCCCCATGGGCCACACCCCAGTGGTACCTGCCCTGCCACCTGCAGGGACACGGGCACAGTGAGCGTGGATCCCCCCATCGCTGGGGGTCACCCCGGTGCCCCCACAGTGCCCCTGCGGCGCTGGTACCTGCGGGTCTGGGGGTCCCGTCGGAAGAAGGGCTCATTGATGACGCCCAGGACGGGGCAGCCAGAGAGGCGGTCGAAGGCCCCAACGAGCACAAGGGCAGAGCAGAGCCCAGCGGGGGCGATGCCATCCACAGGGGGCACGTCCTCGCGGCCCCTGATGTACTCGTTCGTGGAGTCTGGGGAGCGCAGTCGGGGCTCAGCGGTGGCACACGGCGGGGTCCCTGCCCCCCACCCCCGCAGCCCCTCACTCACCAATGGGGTCTATCCACACGGCCAGGTCCCGGGGAGACACGCCGGGCTCAGCGCCCGCCAGTGCCACATCCCCCAGCACCACGTCCCGGTGCACGGCGTCTGCCAGCAGCTCGGCCGCCGCCTGCTCGGGGCCCAGCACCGACAGCAGCAGGGCCACCGTGTCCTCCCGTGTTCCACAGACACGCACGGCCACCGTGCCCCCTGCCACACCCTGAGTCAGCCCCAGCCCCATCACGGGCACCCCCAGCTCAGCCACAGCCCCACAGACCCAGTGTGGGGACCCCCAGTTCAGCCACATCCCTGGCATGGGGACCCCCGACTAAGTCATAGCCTCATAAACCCAGTGTGCAGACCCCCTCCTCAGCCACAGCCCCACCCAGTCCCTGCTGAAGGGCCCCCCGAGTGAGCCATGGCTCTGCAGACCCAGTGTGGGGACCCCCTCAGCCATGACCCTGTGGGGACCGGCACTGGGACCCCCGACTCAGTCACAGCCCCATGGTTCCAGTGTCCCCGACTCACCATGCACATCCCTGAACTCATTGGACTCCTCCCCGTGGATGTGGCCCTGGAGCTCTGGGAACTGGGGGGGCACAGAGGGGCTCAGAATGGCGCGGGGGGCGTGGGGCACCCCGGGGATCCCCGAGTCCGTGCCCACCTCCTTGCCCAGGTCGTGCTTTATGACCTCCTGGATGAGAACGTCCGCCAGGGTCTTGAAGTCCTGCAGGAACCTCCTGTTCCTGTCGGGGCCCGTCTTCTCGGCCACCAGGAGCTGGAACAGCGGCTCCTCCTGCCGGCACAGCCGCGCCAGCTCCGCCGCCTTCTCCGAGACCCCCACGAGTGCCTGCAGCAGCCCCGCCATGGCTGGGGGGACACGGGGCTCAGGGAGATCCCAGAGACCCCTTGGGAGGCGCAGAGCCAAGGGACGGGCCCTGCCCGGCCCCGAAATAATCCCGGGAGCAGAGGGAGGAGGGGGTATGTGGGGACACTGGGGGACAGGGTGACATGGGGACATGGGGAAGTGGGAACCTGGGGACGTAGGGACATATGGATATGGGGGGACAGACGTGGGGACGTGGGGATGTGGGAGTGGGGACATGGGCCTGCAGGGACACGGGGACGTGGACATGGGGATGTGGAGCTAGGGACTTGGGGACATGAGGATATGAGGATGTGGAGACAGGGTGACTGACATGGGGACGTGGGGACACAGACATGGGAACGGGACCGTGGCGACATGGAGAGGTGTGGACATGAGGACGTGGGCATGGGGACACGGGACCATGAGGACACGGGGACACGGGGAAGTGGGGAGATGGACATGTGGCCGTGGGGCTGCGCCTCCCCGATGGTGCCCCCGCGGGGTGTGGGGGGGTCTGTCCCGCGTGTGCAGGAAGCGGTCGGGGCGGGGGGGTCCCCGCTGCCCCCCGGAAGGAGCGGGGAGATGGGGCCTCCCCGTAACGACCGCGACCCAAACTTCCCTCCCCTCCCCGGAGCCCAACCCCCCGCTGCCCCTCCACCCCGAGCCACCCCCGGGGGGACCCCCGGGCCCCTCGGGAGCCTCCGCCGCTGCCGTTACCGGGGCCGGGGCCGCTGACAGCTCCTCGGACGGCCCGTGGGCGGGGACGGCGGGCGCGTCACGGAACCGCCTTAACCCGCTCGCTTCCGCGGCCCGGCGGGGGAGGACCCGGCGGAGGGGTCACACCGACGGTGGCGAAACCCCCGAGAGCGGCGGGACCCCGGTGTAGCGGGGGACGGACCGGCACGACTTTCCCAGGGTGTCACCCCGGGGAGCGGTGCTGCAGCGGCGGCAGGGAAAGCCCCGCTACGGGTCCCAGTACCCCCGGGGTCCCGTGTGGGGTCCTAGTGTGTCCTTGTGGGGCCTCTATGGGGTCCCTGTGGTGTTCCTTTGGGGTCTCTGTGTGTCCCTGGTGTCCCGGGGGGTTCCCGTGCCCCCCCTGCAGTTCCCCCGGTGACCGCGCGGTGGCGCTGGCCCCCAGCGCTGTGGGACGGGCCCCGGGAGCTCAGTGGCGCCCCCTGGCGGGACGCGCTGGCACCGCCCCCCCCCCGGGACCGGGGGGTAACGGGGCCGCCCCCTCTCCAAAACCTGCCGCACCACCTCGGGACAGTCCCCCCGCCGAGGCCGAGTCACTCTCCCACCTCACCGGGCCAGGATCCCCTCACCAACCCCAACGCACCGGAGTGGTGCCGGTGTATCCCCGGTGTCTCTTCCCCTCTCCATGGTTCTGATGGGGCCGACACCTGGAGTGAGGGAGGGTGTCTCGGGTCACCTGTGGGGTCCCCGCACTGATCTCAGTGCTTGTGCCAATCCTTGTTTCTCCTGGAACCTACTGACGGCGGCATCTGCCCCGTGCCAGGCTTTGCCCGTCTCCCCAACCTCACTACTCTGCCCCCCCAAAGCTCGAGCGCCCCCACCTTGGGAACAGGACCCCCGTGACCCCTCGGGGTCCCCATGGCCCCCAACTCTCCTGGCTGGTCTCCCCTCGGTCATGGTGTGATGGCTCTCGTTGCCCCTGGGACACACTGACGGTGGTTGCAGTTCTGCCCAGTGCCAGGCTTCTCCCACAGTGGTCAGCCCCCGCTTCTGCCCCCCCTTCGCACCCGCTGGAGCTCCCCGGGGATCCCCACGCCCCCCAGCTCATGAGGGGGCTTCCCTCGGCCAAGGTCCCTGTTACTCCTGGAACCAGCTGACGGTCACTGCAGCACTTCCCAGTGCCAGGCTTCTCCCAGGGCGGGCACCCCACCCCCCAACGCCCACTGCAGCCCACCGGGGACCCCCATGCCCCTCAGCTCAGAGCTGGGTTTCCCTGAGCCAGGCTCTGCCAGCCCTCGCTGGTCCTGGAACCCACCGATGGTTCTCGAGGGCTCTGCCGGAGCCGGCAAAGGGAACGGGGCGAGCAGCGGGGGCTCTGAGGGTGGGGGGAGTCCGGGGGGGCCCGGGACGCGCATCCTGGGGGGCGGTGCACTTGCCGGGACGCGCATCCCCCCGACCGCACTTGCCGGGAGCGGGTCCCGCCGCGCCGCCCCCCGCCCCGAACCGGAGCCGGGCGGGGAGTCCGGGGCGCACCGGGTGGCGGCGGGGCCGTTCCCCGGGCTCGGGGGGCCGGCGGCGGCTGGTGCCAAGCCCCTGCCAGAACCTCTTTTGTGCGCCCGCAGCCAATCAAGGCCGCTGACGACACACTTCTCTTGGGGTATAAAACCCCGGGGCCGCCGCTACCGCCGCTTTTTTTCATCCCCCCCCCCCCCTTCGGCCCCCCCGGGGGTCCCCGCTTCCCCGCCCCCGCCACCGTTACCGCCTTCCCCCCCCTTGCGCGTTGCGGTGGAAGCGGGGCGGGGGGGCGGCCCGGTGGGGAAGGGTTTTATTTTTTTTTCTTCTTTCTTTTCTTTTTCTTTTATGTATTTTTTTGTTTTCCCCCCCGGCATGGCCCCGTTGTGGTGGTTGTTGGGGTCGGTGGTGGCGGTAGTGGCCGGGGGGGGGTCGGTGGAGCAGCCCCCTGCCTCCGAGCCCGCCTGCCCCGTGTGCCTGTGGCGGCGGCAGAGCAAAGAGCTGCGGCTGGAGAGCATCAAGTCGCAGATCCTGAGCAAGCTGCGGCTGAAGGAAGCGCCCAACATCACCCGGGAGGTGGTGAAGCAGCTGCTGCCCAAGGCCCCCCCGCTCCAGCAGCTCCTGGACCTCCACGACTTCCAGGGGGACTCGCTGCAGCACGACGAGTACCTGGAGGAGGACGAGTACCACGCCACCACCGAGACCGTCATCAGCATGGCCCAGGAAAGTCAGTGCCGCCCTTTGTTCCGCTGCAAACTTCGCCGGAGGACTCCCCCTCAGCCCCCATCCCCGGTCCGGGCTCCCCTCTCGGTTCCCCTCCTGGTCCCCCCGTCCTCTCCCCGCCCGCCGGCACCGTCCCTCTGGGACGCCCCATCCTCCGCTGCCTTCCCCGGGGCTCCCCGACCTTCCTCGGTGCTCCCCAACATCCCCCCGGAGCTCCACTACCCTCCCTGGGGCTCCTTGACACCCCCTCGCCCCCGAGGCTTCTCGGTTCCCCCCGGTCTGCGCAGGTCCCGCTGCGACACAGGGATGTAGGGACATGGGGACACAGGGACATGGGGACGTGGGGATGGGACAGTCTGGCTGCAGCAGCCCCGGTACGGGGCACTGGGAACCAGGAGATGGGACTGGGACTGGCCACTGGGGCCTGGGACTGGGGCCTGGGAGCTGGGACTGGTGGCTGGGAACTGGGAGCTGGTGCTGTGTGCTGGAACGGGGGACTAGATGCTGGGACTGGGGACTGAAAGGCGGCACTGTGTGCTGGGACCTGATACTGGAAGCTGGGACTGGGGACTGGGAACTGGTACTGAGTGCTGGCACCTGATATGGGGTGCTGGGTGCTGGAATCCGGCACTAGGTACTGGGACAGGGCAGTAGCACCAGGACCCAGCACTGGCACTGGGAGCTGACATTAAGGACTGGGCACTGGGACCTAGCACTGAGTGCTGGGACCTGGCACTGGGGACTGGAACTGGAGACTAGATCTGGGAACTGGGACCAGTGAAGGGGGACTGGGACTTGGCAGTAGGGACTGGTACCAGCCACTGAGTACTGGGACCTGGCACTGGGAACTGGGACTGGGAACTGGGCACTTGAGACTGTGACCAGACACTGGCATCAGTCAGGAGTGGGACTGGGCACTGGAAGTAACACCAGGATTCCACATTGGGTAGTGGGACCTGGCACGGGGAGCAGACTGGGGGCATGGGGCAGGTGGCACGGTGACCTCCCAGTCCCCAGGGCACAGGGCAGGGTGACAGGAAAGTGTCAGCCGGGTGATGGCAGGGTGAAAACAGAGTGACTAACAGGGTGACATCAAGGTGACAACAGACTGTGCTGGGGACAGGCCAGTGCAGCGAGGGGCTGTGAGGGGTTCCTGGTGGGACAGCAGGGAGGGGACAGGTCACGGGGACTTTGCTGGGACGTGATGTAGCCCTGTCCCCCCCGCAGATCCCCCAGGGTCTCTCCACCTGCTCCAGCCGTGGGACCCCCGGGACAGGGGGGCCGGGTGCGAAGGGCGAGCGGAAGGGAGGGAAGTGTGAGGCGCTGCCCCCCTCCTGCCGCCCCCCGACGAATTTCCTTCCCAGGCATTAATAGACTCGGGCGGCTTTGAAATTTTATTACCCATAAAATTGACGACACACTGGGGTTTTCCTCCCCGAGCCGCGGCAATGCTCGCGGCCCCCAGGCCTCCCTCCTGCCCCTTCACAGCTCAGGGGCCCCCAAAATAAATACCAGCGAGCAGCCCCTCCTCCTGCGTGGCCCCACGCCGGGGGTCCCACAGCCCCGGACCCCCGTCCGGATGCGCCACGGGTCCGCTCCCCACCTCTCACTACCACCACTCTGTTATTATTATGATTTTTCCTCCCTCCTCACCCTCCCCGGGGCAATTGTGGGGGGTTTTATGGTTCCTGAACAGAAGGAGGGAAAGGGCTTTACAGGCAGCAGAGCCATAAAGCTCTCGGGTTCCCCCCGGCTGCCCCCCGCCCCCCTGCTAATCCCTGGCCACCACCCTCAAGCCCCCCACACCCCCGGGGGTTTTTAACTGCAGGAGGAACCCGGGAAGGTTAATTGGGTCCTAAACCCATTGAGGGGCTACCCGTGACCCCCGCGACCCTCGGGGGGGAGGGAGCTTAATGAGGGGCGATGGGGGGCTGGAGGGGCTGGGGCAAAGGCCTGGCAAGGACCAGGGGCGCCGGAGCCGCTCAAGGTCAGTGGGAAGTGAGGACACGGGGACACAAGGACATGGGGACACGGCAGAGCCACCACTGGCACACGGCACCTTGGGGCTCCCTGGATCTGGGGGGGCTCTGGTCAGGGGGTTGAGGGGACGGGCGTGGGAGCCCTGATCCGGGCTCCAGTGGGAACAAAGAGCGGGGGGGGCCGGGGATGGCCCCCCTCCCGGCACATGCCCAGCTGTGACCAGTGTCCCGGTAACCTTTATCCCCTGTTGCCACAGCGACCGGACGAGCATCCTGGCACCGCAGCCAGTGTGGCAGAGCCCCCCCGCCGGATCCCCCCGGGCCCGGTGTCCCCCTGGGATGTCAGTCAGAGCTCCAGTGTCCCCCAGGAAGCCACAGCGACCCCCAGGCCAGCAGAGGGTCAGCAGCGCCACCGGTGCTGCCACTGTCGCGGCGAGGGTCTTTGGGGGCATCTCCACAGGACCTGCCCTGGGTCCAGAGCTGCTCCAGCATCTCCCACCTGGAGACCCCCCCCAAACCCCACCCCATGGCACAAACTGGCCACCACAGACCTCTGTGCAGGAGTGTCACCTTGCCGACAGCCCCTCGTGGGGTGGCATCCCATTGGTGACGGGTGGCAAAGCCTCCACCGAGGGACTGGGGGGGCACAATGTGCTGAGAGGACGGGCACGAGGGGGTTCAATCGGGGGTTTGAGCACAGCGCATCGCAGGGGGAGTTTTGGTGGTGGGTGCCCACGGCCCCCAACCCCATCCTGGGGGGGGTCGGGCCCCCCCCAACAAGGGGGCCAGGCAGCATTCCGGGGGCTGCGGCCAGTGTCGTGACCCCCATGAGC